GTTATATCAACACGAGTGGAAATTGGGAAAACGAGAAATTGTGTGGAAACACGACGCCCGAAGGGCGGAGTGTTTTCACACAATTTCGAGTTTTCCCAACTTCCACGAGTGTTGATATAACAATATATCAATACGGAAAAAAATGTTTTATATTTGTTTTATAATATAGCAATGTCAAAAGCCCGAAGAATGAGAAAAATTTCCGTGTTTACAAGCGGCGGAAAATTTCCCGTGTTGACATGGAGTTATATCAACACGGCTCTTAGCCAATCAGCGTTCAGAATTTACAAATGCTATATTATAAATATATATATATATGTGTGTGTGTGTAACATTCTCAGTAAAACAAGTGGAAGGAAATCAAGAATATATAGGGTACTCACTACTCGCATGTGTACTCTTAAAATATTATTAATTTACGTACTATTTAAAACATGAGCAGGAGTGTCTTATATCTGATAAAACGCGAACTACGAGTGTTGTAAATGTAGCTTAAAAAAGACCCATCATATGTTTTCATTTAAAAATCAACATTGTTTAAGCCGAGAAAATCAAAGCTTTAGTATATGTAAAATTACATGATTTTTTTATCACATAAAACCACCGACACGTGCTTAGTGATTTCCTCTGTCTTTTCCTCATGAATTATTAATGAGTTTTTAAAAATTTATTTAGTCGCCTGACGGTGAATATCAATGTACTGTGAGCGCTGGTAGTAAGTCGTATTCAATTGCAGCCACTTGGAATAATAGCACAAGTATTACATGTGGAGCTCAAGAGGTAAAATAATTCATTAATTTGTTTACAAATTTCGGACAACACAATTTTTCAGGCTATAGATATGCAAGCCACGGCACGAATTACATTTTACATTACATACATTATCTGGCATTAATACCTGATATTTATGGTTACATGCATATTTTTGTTGTGTAGCATAAATACCCTGAACCAAGAGTTGAAATATCTGCAAATATTAGTGTAAAGTTGGGTAAAAGTGACGTGAAGCCCGTAGATGGTTATATCCAAGGTAATTCTATATACTAAATATTTCTCAGATTTACTTGTCATGTTTCTCACATGTGGGTTCCTGACAACTCGAAATCAGCTTTTGACTTGTTTTGACTCGAGTGATGCCATTGACTGGTTTCCACTTGATGAGAGATGAGGGTGAGTCGACCTGACTGACGACTCGACCTACAATACTAAACTGTCAGGGTAAAGTATCGTAACATATTTCATAATTTGTTTAGTGTATTTGTACGACTGTCGAAGGGCTGCCACGCTTTGTGGAAGTTGTCTTGTTGCGAAAGCTCAGTATAAATGTGGTTGGTGTGTCAATACAAGTTGTTCTGTAAATGATCGTTGTCCTTCAGGATTATGGGTACCACCAAGTGGGGAATGTCCAGGAATACCAAAAATAGAGTCGGTATGTTTAATTTTAGTTTTGCTGTTATATTTGGTCATAGAATGGTTTCAAGTTGAGACAGTAGCCGGTCCTTCCAAACTGTTCTCTCTATGGAGGTTAAGTAAAGTACTATAAGAACCATCCTTTACTGGTCCAGTTTACAGGTGGTAATCTAGTCTGAACTATCTTCTTTCACACTGGATAGCCCTATTAACTGTACTCCTCAGAGTTCCAGTAAGGGATATCCTTATTACTCCAGCGTTAAACTCCGTTACAGAAAACGCCGACACAGAGAGAGACCTGGATCACGGTCTAGTGTTACTACAGGAAGAATTTAAACTGGCCAGCACCAGGAGAAAATGTGCTCATGTGTTTGGTAGAACTGGAAGCACTCTTTTCACATTGAACTGAGAAAGACTATAATCAGAAAACTGTGAACAGCAGGAATCAACCAGATCAGACCTTGTTAAAACCTTGCAAGTTAAGATTCACAACTTGCCTTTGGGTCGTGTCTGCACTTATAAGCGTTTTTTTGAAACGTCAAAGTCTTTTAATTGTCAGATAGTTCAGACTAAAAAACCACGTCAGTTTATTCTGGATACTACTCTTACCGTTCTTGCATGTTTAACATGTTCGACAATTAAGTTTTGTTCTTAAATCTTATTGCCTTCCGTCGACACTCGCACAAACCTATAATGTTGTTAATATTTTTAGTTTTATCCAAAAACGGGACATGTGAAAGGGAATTCAAGGCTCGAAATAAACGGAAAGGAATTTGGTCGAAGATATAAAGATGTTAAAGAGGTTTCCATTGCAGGTCACCAATGTACAACAATTGAAAAGGATTATGTTATTGCCAAGAAGTAAGAGCATATGTTTACGGTACTGTAGGAATAGCTTGTTTTACAATTTTCTTGTGTCACTTTTAACTACAGAGTTTCACTAAGGCTTTCCAAATTTTATGTGATACGTAACCTTAATTATGGTAAATAAGCTTTAGCGTTTGCTAGAACAATACTTGCTTGAGGAACAAGGTACGCAGTGGGCCGTAGCTACTGCATGACTGTACCTTTTATATCAGTTGTATGTGAGTAATGCATCTACTGTAGTTTTCTTCGGGTACTTTGTTTTCCTCTTGTAGTAACACTGGACCATTTGATCTGGAACTGCATATTTTTAAAAAAATACAGAAAAAATAG